GAGAGAAATAATTGTAGGCCATACAACTATTTCTCCCGGCCCGGGAATCGAACCTGGGACCTCTGCGTGGCAGACCGGCATGGTAACCGTTCGGCCACGGAAGCAGTTAAAAGTAAAAAGTGGTCCAACTTTCAAGTACACAAATGAATAGTAATGTCTTTTTATGATCAAAGTATTCTATTAGTTGATGAAAAATGCTTCGATGACTCATTCTGTACTCATCAACAAGTAGGTCGTACCACTTCTGAGTATCGGTCTGCTTTAAGGAATGGATTGGGGACTTGGCACCATAATCATAATCATTCTTATCACATTCTTTTTTACTCTATCTCAATGGCATCTCATCTCGTAATGGTGCCAGCGAAAGTATTTGAACGAAAGAAGGATTGATAAATACCTTCTATTGGCCTCCGGGGTGATATGGCTGACGACATTCTCGTACTCGTTGGGCTTATGCGTGGGCGAGACGTCGGTGCTGCCGCCACTCACCTTGTAGCACACCACCTTGCCGTTGATCTCGCTGAAAGTACCAAACGTTAAGGATAACATTGTCGACGAGACGTTGTAATAAACAATAATTGGTATATTTTCACAAATTATGCAATTATTTTTTTATGATACTAAGTGAAGGGACGTACAAGTCGTGCGCCTGCTGGAAAGCGACACGCGTGTCCATAACAGTTGCAAAGATCTGAGGAAGTAAGTTGACAAGTCCCATGATCCTGTAATTTCACCAGCACCCTTACCCTTCAAAACCGGAACGCAGTAATGTGAGCATTACTGCTTGGCGGCAGAAATAGGTAACGTGGGCTTGCTTGTGGATACTGCGGTATAATAGGGATGCCGAAGAATCCTCTGTCGGGCCGTCCAGAAAATGGGTACCGGGTATTTGGCTATTTGCTCCCCACATCAGCAATGCCAACCGTCCGAGTAATAGTCTTATTTAGAGTGTACTCACCCTGCAAGTATGAACCCCTGTGGTGCCTGCCTCATCTTCGAGCACACAATGACGTCAGTGACGGGTGGTGACGCCGAGGTAGCAGCACTGCGACTGACGCGGGTGCACACGCGCCGTTTGCCGGCTCTACCCGCCACGCTGAAGCCAGCAGGTGCTGCCTCGCGCTCGCCCACGATTAAAAGACCGTCCATTACGTAGCCAGGCACCCCTGTGAAGAACGGAGAAAGCATAGGTTATTTTTATGACTGTGCTATAAAAAATTATCTTAGCATCGTGTAATCATTTGAGGAGCGCCATTTGTCTCTCACAGCTATTGCTATCCTTGTTAGTTCGCATGACGCCACAACAGGACAACTACAGCAACTTAGCTAGTTGCGCGGTGTAAGTATAATGCTTTACATTATCTATTACAGCAATAATGACCACCTCTAATAGGCTATAATTACAGGTTGTGTCGATCGTACAATAGCAAATGTAGAAGAAAAATTATTCTTTTCTTAACACGAGAAAAAGTTAAAGACTCAGTATTGCCGGTTTTCAGTCTTCACCTGTAGCTATTCGCTTGCTGTACCAGCCTGAAGTGCGGCGCGTACACCACCTCCATTAAGTAATAGGTAATAAAACACACACTCATAGTCCCGCACTAGGGAAACCCTCTGTCGTGGGTGCCATGGACACACACATAGGGTCGTATTCCAGAACTCTACTCAATGCTCAAGTCAGGAGTTGAGTATGATTTAAAGCACTACAAATCATACTCAAGTCCTTGCCATTTGAGTCGTATTTCCAGTGCTTGAAATCATACTCAAGTTCTGACTTGAGCAAATGAGTAGAGTTCTGGTATACGACCCTTAGACAACCACAAATGACATCCAAATTCACGAAAAATTTAAAGGCTCTCCCGTGTGAAGTCACTTCTTTTTAAGTTAAAATTTTAAGACTTTAGTAGTATAATAATAATAACGCACACACTCAACATAGCCCGGCACTAGAGGAACCCTGTGTCGCGGGTGCCATGGACACACACACATAGACAACCACAAATTACACCCAAACTCGCGAGAGAAATATATGTAGGCCATACAAATATTTTTCCCAGCCCGGGAATCGAACCTGGGACCTCTGCGTGGCAGTCCGGCATGGTAACCGTTCGGCCACCGAGACAGTTACAATATAAATTAAGTAGAGAGTAAAATTGTTTCAATCGGATTTCAGTGAAAATAGGAGCCATTGTTTACACCGTTTACAAGTTATATCTCGACACTTTATGATATTGTGATTCATCGTGTTATAATATAATATCAAGTGGCGTTGATTCATAGATTTTTTTATTATCATAACACAGGAAAAACCGTATCGATATTTACATTCTTTGTAAAGTTGTTTTATCTTGGCATGTAGCCAAATTCACATAACAAAACTGGTTAAAAAATAATATTAAATATATTTTGGTTCTTTGATGAAACTTTAGAACAAATTAATAAGTAAGTAGTTTAAAGTTAAGTCTGAATTCATTTACACACAGCACGCCTGTCCATAACAATTGCAGTGCCACTCAAGAGCTTTAAAACGTAACGATCTAAGGAGCACTGCCACTGCGCCCATCACCCTAGGACATAGGTTCAACAAGCCTGTAATTTCACCAGCAGCGTTACCCTTCCAAACAGGAATGCAGTAACGCTGGTGAAATTACAATGCATTTGTCAATTTATGTCTCAGGGTGACGGGCGCGGTGACAGTGTCCCTAAGATCTTTCGATAGGCGTGTCGCTTACCACCGGGCTAGATACGACTTGTTCGTCCCGCCAATAGGTATTATAAAAAAAAACAAAAACAAAAAATATTCACAGTACTGCTTGGCGGCAGAAGTAGGTAAGATGGCTGTAATTCCCTTAGTGAATTTTTTCACAAGGAGCACCACTGATACTATCACTACTATAATATTGTTCCTAACTGCTCGTAACCTAACAGCTTATTTCTGTTCCTTATATTAAGGTATGTCTATCATTACTTTTAATGAAAAAGTATCATTCTTAACATGTCTGTGATTCTTATAGAGTCCTTAGGTTTTCGCGATTGTTACACATAGGAAATAAAACAATTCCCCCGGACTTAAATCGCGTATATTATCATACGCGATTTAAATCCGGAAAAATAGTTTTATTTCCTAAGTATATTTTTCTTCTAAATAACAGATTGCTTCGTGGAATCCTATCAGCTGGGTACAGAATGGAGTGAGTAATGCATTTAAGAAAAACATACACAAAACCACAATATTTCAACGAGCGTATTTGACCGTAAGTAAACAACTTTTGCTGTCATCGACTAAAGTTTAAAATAAACGGTTAGGATATTAACTTTTCAACGATAAGTCTTTTTACCAGAATTTAAAGCATGCCTAGCGATGGTAGCTCACTAGCAGGACTGATGCTGCCCAATTCGCTGCCTCTATGTATAACACACTATTGCAAGATAGAGAACGAATTTGAACTAAGCATACAGCGACAAGCAGACCGTGCGAAACTTAATAGTGAATAACGCACTTATCTTCTTAGTTATGATTTTTTTTACGCCGTACTGCGTTATTATATAAAGGCAGCGAACTTAAAAGTGGACGACTCAGGCTCATTTCATTCTCCGTCCGAATAAGTAATATTCGACCAAATTAAACACGCATGATGTGAATGAAGTTTCATACTTGACGTTTAGTCTGTTAATTTGGTTGAATAATACATATTTGACTGTAATCGTTTCGGTCGGAGTACGAGAGCAGACCCCCAGATCCTTGTGGCGACAAGGTGATACATGGGGACGTATGATAGATTAAATTAATCACTTCACTTTTTATTTTTATGGCTCCATCAATATGAGAACTGATGATTTTGCCAATGTCACAGTTGAAAGAAAAAAAAACGAAACAAAAAAAAATTTTCGCTAAGCTCTAATAGGACATTAACCGGTGTTGGTAAGTTGGACTACGGGAGTACTCAGTTGAGAATGTACCAAATAAGTGGCCAAATTTGACACTTGTCATCGTGACGCGAATAGGGATGTGGACTAATCATATCGGTAATCACATTATACGATTTTCACGAGAAATAGATAAAATTTTTTTTTGTGATTGTTTATACCGTTATGCCGAAGATATCCCCGACGACAGCCTGTATGAGATTAGTGTTGCTCTCAAACAACTCAAGAACAACAAAGCGGCGGGCGATGATGGAATCACAACAGAACTTCTGAGAGCGGGCGGCAAGCCGATACTTAAAAGTCCTCCAGAAGATTTTCAATTCTGTCATCGACGAAGGACAAACGCCTAAGGCATGGGGCAGAAGCTAATTCGTCCTGTTTTTCAAAAAGGGTGATAAAACACTTTTGAAGAACTATCGGCCAATCTCGCTTCTGAGCCATATTTATAAGTTGTTTTCGAGAGTTACCACGAATCGTCTCGCTTGTAGGTTTGACGACTTCCAACCTCCCGAACCACTCGGTTTCTGAAAGGGTTTTAGTGCCATAGACCACATTCATACGCTGCGGCAGGTTATACAGAAGACCGAGGAGTATAACGGGCCACTTTGCTTAGCGTTTGTGGACTATGAGAAGGCATTTGATTCGATCGCGACCTGGGTGGTGCTGCAGTCTCTCCAAAGGTGCCAAGTAGACTATAGGTATATCGAGGTGTTAAGGTACTTATACAAAAACGTCAGTCTGTCACTCCGATTACAGGATCAGAGCTCTAATACTATCCAACTGCAACGATTCGTGAGACAGGGATATATCACCGAAACTGTTCACTGCGGCGTTGGAGGATATTTTCAAGCTTCTGGACTGGAAAGGACTTGGCATCAACATCAATGGCGAGTATCTAACACACCTTCGATTTGCCGATGATATAGTTCTTATGGCTGAGACCTTGAGAGACCTGAACACAATGCTCGACGATCTCAGTAGTGTTCCCAAAGAGTGGGTCTTAAGATGAACATGGACAAGACGAAGATCATGTCGAATGTCCATGTTGTACCCGCTCCAGTTAAAATTGGGAACATTACACTCGAAGTTGTTGACCATTACGTATACCTGGGGTAGACAGTTCAGTTAGGTAAGTCCAACTTTGAGAATGCTCGGTATTTCTCTACGTGATAGAATCAGACATGAGGAAATCCGTAGGAGAACTAAGGTAACCGACATAGCTCGAAGAATTGCTCAGCTGAAGTGGCAGTGGGTGGGGCACATAGCTAGGATAACCGATGGCCGGTGGAGCGGAAAGGTTCTTCAAGTGGGTAGGCCCCCCCCACCAAGTGGACCGACGATCTGGTAAAGGTCGTGGGAAGCCGATAGATGCGGGGAGCGCAGGACCGATCATCGTGGAGATCGTTGGGGGCGGCCTATGCCCAGCAGTGGGCGTCGCATGGCTGAATGATGATTGTTTAGACTATTTTTCGGTTCATTGTTGTTCAGGGGGCCTAAAAGGCGAAATCGTGGAATTCTGTTAAAAGCAATTCATTTACAAATTCCTTGCAATTCCTCTTATTTTTTAATATACATAAATGGTTTATTATGAGAATTTAGTGTAAATAAGTATGTTCATCGATAAAATAACTATATAAAATTTAAAAATATAAAAAATTTAATCTAAATTACCTAGAAACCAAGGATTTCATAAATTTTCAATTCAAAAAGAAAAGGAAATACAAATCTGGCTATGAGTACGAGGCTCTTTGAAATTTTATAAATTATAAATTTATTTGCAATAGGTGTGATCAGAGATGTAATAGCTTACAACATTAAAATTAAAAATTAAAAAAAAAAATAGCTCGAGGACGTACTGTTTTCGGGACGTTTCGGAGTAACTCAAAATTGCATTTTATTTTGGAATTTGTGCGAAAACAGTACTTCAAATATGTTTAGTCATATTACATGTTTAAATAAAATTTATGTACTTATTTAAACTCAATTATGCTATTAATTGTTTGTTTATTGTTTCGTTGACCGCATTTAAAGTTACATACTATCACCTTCTTTAGCTGTCAAATATGGCCTCTTATTTGGTGACGACTATAATTATGAATGCAAGATCTGGATTTCTGAGTGACATTCTAATGTCCACTTGCACTAACTCAGTGGCGTAGCGTCGATTTCTGCCGCCGGGGCCCAACCCTAAATATGCTTCCCCTCTATTTTCACGATTACAAAAGTAGTTCGTTCGGGC